ACCTATGTTTGGGGAATGATCATATCAACTTACATACTTCCCCGACTGATTTTAGACTAAAATTGGTGGTGGGTGGTGATGACTAGCTGCCTTCCCTCTAAACTTTCACTGGTAAATTAGGGACGGCTAGTGCAGATAGCCCTCGTGTAGCTTTGCGCGAAATTCAAAACAAACAAACAAACAGTTAGAAAAAATATAGGCATAAGTTAGAGGTGGTTGGGTTTCTTTCAGTTTGTTTGTTTGTTTAAAGTTAAGCACAAAGCTGCAGAATGGGCTATCTGTGCTCTGCCAACCACGGGTATCTAATAGTTTTATTTCATTGTTCTCTCTATATATAATAGAATTTTCAGTTTGTCTAAATACAATTCTACAAATTGTTACTTGCAGACCAAACAGTGTAATACGTAACATGACGGACACTGTAGACTCTCAGTAGTAGAGATCATGTGTAGGTTATAATAGGAAAAGTAAAAAAAAGAAATCACACTTTTTACATATCTTAAGCTTGGAAACATAATGGCAATACTCTACAGATGTGCGATGCCACGATAGTAAAGGCAGCAGAATGTTTTTTATAGCGACATTTCAGAGCTAATGGAGATAATTACTTAACGTTTCACTAGTTTTCTATATTATATCTGCACAGGGGATCAAAAACTACTTCATTGAATCATATATATATATATATAAATAGATTTATAGGCATTTCAAAGCTTAGGTATTAAACCACTCACGTAGTTTTTGTGAGCCTTTTCCTCCATTTTTTTTAGAAACATTTTTATCTAATCCGATATTCAACACTAAGATAAACAACAATAATAAATTCTCTTATGGTCTTAAATCCATAAAGGCACAGCAAATTTAATGGTTTTTACTTTTCCTAAAGTAGCATCTGATCCGTTTTTATCGAAGAAAATAGTTAATATGCATCAAGACGGTTTGTTTTTAATCGTCTTAACTCCAGGATTCTCAGAGGAGAGTTCGATGTTGAAACAACAGAAAAGTACATTTTGTTCTTTATCCTAGAGCACATTAACCAAGAAGCCGTGCAGATATTCGAATCATTATGTATGCTTTGTTTTTCTTGCATCGTATGAATATCAAAATCCATGTATATATGTATAAGCTCTTTACAAAAGTGACGATCAGCTTACAGGTTAGGTAATAAACCTTTTATCCTAATACATTGTAAAAGATGATAATCTCAAACTTTTTAACCTCAGTTCTTCTGCGAGTTACAAGGATGGGCCTTTTGTTTTTAAAATAAACTACTCTAAATATACTCTGTTCATTTAATAGAAAAATAACACATTTCAATTGTATTTTAGTAATATGTTCTTCTATTTGAAGCTGGTCTAAAAGTACAGATAAATCACGAAAGGCTAAACAAATCCTCTAAATAATGACCGGAAGTGTAAAAAAGATAAATCGCCTTTATGCAATGGCTACGTATTTTGGTTTTTGTTACCAGAAATAAGCCGTTTAAAATTGACGTTTAACATTTTTATGGCCAGTGCAGAGAATACAGTTACGATGCTGGTCATAAAAGTGCTAAGGTTGTTGTATCTTTATGTTGACTTTTAATTCTCAGGCCTGCTTATCGATGATACATTGATATTCTGTAGCCATGTTAGGCTTCTCACGTACAATCATTAGGTTACCCATAATGGCGTTAACCACCTACGTTCGCTGCCAGTAAATATAATGTTCCTTACTAGACGAACCTCAGCATGGGGTGGCGTAATTACTTTTATTGAAGGAAGTGTAATTAGGATACTTACTTATACCTGTTTTCAATACAAACACTGTCGTTTTGGAGACAATAACTTATACGGATATGTCAGAAATGAAATTATGTAGAACAGCATCGTTGTATATAAAGAATCAATTTGGTCAAGAAATATAATGTAGATAATGTATTTCTTTTTTTACTAATTGTTAATTATTTTGGTATGATGACTTTAGGTGTGGTAAAAATGTGCTCTAACTGGGTCCCTTTTTTTCGTCTTGTTTTCCCTGTAAAATCACTGTATGCTAACTTACGCGCAATTCTTATAAATGCCAATTTTTTGAGCCTGTAAATTAACATTTCGAATTAATGGTGAAAATTAAATAAAACACAGATTTTTGAAAAAAAAGGCTTACGAATCGACAGAATTCACTGAACTCATCATTAGTTAAAACGACGAGTTAGATAAATCAGTCACAGTAACTGGCAGTTTATTAACGAAGTAACTTGAGTTTGTCGAACGCTTGAAAGATGAGAAGAAGAAGAAATGCGAATTAGAGTGGGAGTTAAATCTTTCTTCAATAATTGTTTCGTTAGGAAGCATCATAGTTAGTAGCCTATTTTGGTTATACGTACAAATGAAGAATGGATTCAAGATTAATAGATGCCGTTTGTCAAAAGCACAGATCTTTCCTGTCAATGGTCTAACTACTGGTTCGTGAACTACGCTCAACCTTTTGAGTACTGGTACGTGAACTACGTTCAACATTTCGGAGTACTGGTACATGAACTAAGTTCAACATTTTGAAG